GATTCTGGCACCCAACATCACAACAAGATGATATTTTAAGCTCATGTAGCTGAATCTGCGCTGGTTTGAAAGGGCCGCCTCCAGTTTCCGCTTTGTTGTGCTGCCTCCCGCTAGCGCTGTGACGTCGCTGACCCTAGTTACCTGTGGTTGGCCTGGCCGTGCGTCACTCAGAAAACAACAGGCCAATCAGAAGAGAGGCTCATGAATATTAATTAGACAGGCCAAAATCGACCTGTTCTCAGCAGAGCTCCTGAGAAAGGAGCTGTAAAAATATATTGAGATGGTTTTTGGTACTTATACCGCAAATATATATTCTTAAGGACATCAAAACCTCAAATAAAACTCCAGAAAGGTGTACAATATGTGACCTTTAAGTGTTTTGACTTAAGGGTATCCCTGAGGGGGAAAAAATTCCCTAAAGCTTATGATACATGGGGCAACTTTTTTTGAGCAGTGTTGCTTGGGCACTTTACCCACTGAGAATGGGTAACAAATTTCTATCTGGATACTAGGGCTGCGCGATAAATCACATGCAATTATCATGCGCATCTCGTCAGTAAAGCCGGTTCCGTGACTAGTAGTAAATCTCCATCATGTGCTTTCAGATGGAGGGGCATTTAATACACAGAGCCGTACGCAACGCAATATCGCGTTCATAATCGAAGGCGATTCTTCTGTGATTATCAGCGCGATATTGCGTTGCTTGTCAGTGAACTACGGCTCTGTGTATTAAATGCCGCTCCATCTGAAAGCACATGATGGAGATTTACTACTAGTCACGGAACTGGCTTTACTGACGAGATGCGCATGACAATCACATGCGATTAATTGCACTGCCCTAATTTGTGATCCGTTAAACCACTGCTGATGACTCGCAGAGGGTGTGATCTGTGTGTCGCTCCTCAACATGTTCATGTTCGCTCGTTTCCCTGTCGGACTGTCTGCAGTCTTTAGTTCTCTCAACCCAACACTTTTAAGTCTCCTTGAAGTCAGAATGAAATTAACCCCTTTTACTTTCTTACTACATGTTACTGTAAATGATTCATCTGTGAATTTTATTCTGATTTGTTTTTAATAATGATTTTTAATCGTCCTGATGTGACTCCTCATTCAGGTCCGCCTTCGTTCTGATGTTCACATGCCAATCTACAAGCGCTGGATGAAATCACGTCTGCCCTACGTTTTTATTTTCTAGTTTGATATCTGCTTGGATTGAAAATACATCACAATACAGTAGCGGAAGTCCGTGGAAACATCAAAAAGCATTATTTATGTTGGTATAGTGTTTAAATCAGGTGGTAAATGTGATGACCGTACACATACAAACAGACTGGAAACATCATGACTGATATCTAATCCGGTGTAGTTGTGTGTAGATCGCTCCTGGAGTCTGTTTCTACATGTGTGTGTGTGTTTGCACCAGATAAACATTGTCTTAACACTAGAACCGCCAGAGGTCGCTGTATACTTAAAAGCGCCAGCGGGTACATTTTACCCACTCACATGGCAACTGTATTTATATGGCTAAAGAACATATTATGCCACTGTCTTCACAAAGAAGTGTCTAGAGTCATGAAATGATTGTCTAGTCATCAACTATATTTTTATCCTGTTGTTTTATGTTCAAGACTTTTTAATGCAGGCTACACTAATCCATAATGATCAGTAGCCTAAGCTTAAATAAAAGTCTGCACTGACAACGCAAAGTAGAAGGTAGTAGCCTAAATATCTGTCATTAATCAATATATTAAGATAACCCATGCTATGAATGACTAAAACAGCCTATAGACAATAATGAGCAATAATAATTCACCACACTGCATAGGATGAAAAATTCAAGCGCACCGCTTCACCTAAATTTATTAATTTGTTTAGTTATATCATTTATAATTTGAATAAGAGAACAACACCATTAAACTTTGGGTAATCAAAAAATGGTTTTATTCATTACATCATATAGATCGGATTTATTTATTTTTCTCCAGGAAACGGCCAGACTAGAATAGCAACACAGTAGCGAACAATAAACGATATGGCAAGACTAAAATGAAATAATTAAACCAAAGTTTGACCAATTAGAGTAACGTGAGGCTAAAAGATGTAAATATGACATCTGGATCAGGTGCTGAGTCGACCCGGGAGGCGTAACTACCATCTGACTCTCCATCACTCGTGCATTTAGTGTTTCTAATACCTACCGTCCATATATCGCCTTTATTTAGTCATTTTGACTTTATTTATGAAACTAACCCCGTGGCGGTTCTAGTGTTAAGGGGCGGTTAAACACTGCACTTTTCGTTCCATTGACTTCCATTCATACGCATGCGCATGCGTCAGACCGAAAACTCAAGCTCATGCAAAAAGTTCAAGCTCGGTGAACTCTGACCTGTGAATTCACCTGTGACCAACAGCAGATTGATAAGTCACAGCATGACCTCGTAACTGAATTAAAAGAACCTAAATTTAAAACTGCTGTGCTACAGGAAAGTGAAGTAGATTGTATATATTTACATTTTAGATGTATTATCATTTATGTGTTGAATTTTAAGTTTTTAAAAAGGCGCTGCAGAGCATGACATCACGACCGTTGCAGCATTCGAATCAATTTTGCCTGCTCAAAGTCTAGTGTGACCGCGGCTTTATTGAGCGACCAGAATATTGAGAAAATCATCTTTAAAGTTGTTCAAATGAAGTTCTTAGCAATGCATATTACTAATCAAACATTAAGTTTTACTGTTCTGTGTTACTGGATTGTGCCACGTGTTCATGCGAATGCCTGTTTTTGGTCCTCTTTTCCTCTCTGTCTCCTGATCCGATGGAGGAACGGCCTGCCCAGTGTTTAATCATTGAACCCAAACCAAACCTCCCGATTGTTATCGCACCGCACGTGCTGGCGTTTCACGGTTTAAACCAGCGGCATTATAACATTACCAGCTCTGCTTGAAGTCTGAGTTTGTGATGATGATGATGATGGACTCTTCAGCTCCGTGTAGTTTCAGTTCAGCTTCAGCTACTTTTGTGCGGTTTGAACTCAAGGGCTTTCGATTCTCTTACAGGCACAATACACTAGTAAATAAAACAGATGTACAGTCAAAGGACTTGCACTTTATTGCAGTGAAATTTGATATTCATATTACGATAGCATAAAGCTTGTTGATGTCCTTAGAGCATAATTGACAATAAACCTCTGTTGCACTTGAGTGTTTGTCTGAGTTTTTTTCAGGTGTGACGGGGATTTCTCTTCTTTTACAGTGAGTCATTAGATGTCATCACAGACAGCGTTTCCGTGTGGAAACACCAGTAGAATCACATCTAAAGAGCTGCTCTCTGGAGAAAACCCTGCAAATATTCAGTGACTGCGATGCTTTGATATAGTTGGTGTATTGACTCTGTTTGCGGACGCTGTATATGTGTTTTATTCTCTTGTTTTCCTGGTTCTATAGGATGATTTAGGTGAGCTTGGAGAGAGGGTGTGATCTGTGTGTCGCTCAGTTCAGCATGTGGTCTTTTATACGTGAGCGTGAGATATTCCTGAGGAGTGTTTGTGGATCGGGCTTCTGTGAGTGCTGCAGCAGATCATCACTGATGTGGACAGACATCTAGACACGCTGCTCTGAGAGAGAGCAGTCTCTAAAACAACCAGAAAACATTTATCAACTGAAGAAATGTTCACAAAAGTACTTTTTTGAACGACTCACTTGTAGAGCCATTGCTCTTTGATTTCTTTGCACATGGATTGGTTTCTGTGTAAAACTCTACGAGAGTTTGTGTGCAGCGCTGGCTCCGGTCAAAAACTTGAACTCGGAGCAGTGTGCAGGTCTTCTGGATGCCTCGTGTTAGATGTGCTACTGGGAACCTGCAGTGAACCTAATGGGTATAGTTTGCACGTCCAAAGGTGTCTTTACACCAAGTTACAGCTGTTTAAAATTCCATGTAAAGACACTGCGGCATAAAAGCCAGGCTAAACTACGCCTCCTCGGACCGCAGGGTCACAGCGCTGATGGAAGGTGCAATAGCTGTGTAAATGCTTTTATGCAAACAATGTCTGCAATGTTCAGAGGCGCTTTGGTGTCATATTTGCCGTGTAAGTGCAGCACAGATACAGATGAACAAATACTGAGTGATAAAAATAAAGGCTTTGATTTGAATATTTGCTCCAGACTTCACTGACGGCCAGATTCTGTGTTGTCCTATTGCATAGAGATCTTCAAGACACTATGCACTAAACCGGGTTTGTTTGGCATTTCAAACTCTACAGTGACTCTCAGGAGGATAAAGAGGGAGAAATAAATAAACAGTGTCTCTGTGTTGCCCTGGAGGCTCAATCTATTAACGCTCCCAGATGATCGTGTCGCTCATCAATGGGGATCTACTATCACAGATATCCCGCTGATGGATACGGTTACATCAGCACCGAGTAAACCAGATCCTCTTCTCCATCTGTCCCCGCTGCACCTGATCGACCGGTGAGAGTCCGTTGTCCTGTTCCTATTGGAGCTGTTGGAAAGGCCAAGGGTCAGCGACCTCCACGTGACACTGATCGTGCAGACCAAACCGTAAGTCGTAGAGAGCTGAAACCGGGAGGGATGGTCGTACTCACACCGCCTGCAACATGACCAAGGCTCGCCCCAACCCTAACCCTAACCCTAACCCTTTTTTGAAAAAACTAATGTTTTGCAAAATAGTCCTAGGTTTTGTTCTGTATCCGATCGGAAGCAAACCAGTGCAGGAATACCAATAATTATCAAAAAAAAGTTTAACTTTCGAGACTCTGTCGCAAAGGGGCGCCAAACGTTTGAAAGGGGCAGGGCCGCCTTTACTAAAACAGCTTTAACTTTAGAACGGAATGAGATATCTTCGCCAAACTCACAACACGCATGTAAGAGCTGAATCTGAGGTCACGTTAAAAAAATTAAAATAAATAAAAGTCGTGAAAATCGTGTGCACGGTCCAAAGTGCTGCAAGTGTCTATAAGGACACATAAGGTCATGTGATGCTGCTAAAAATAACAGTATTTTGTGTATTTGGTGTAATGCAATGTGTTTATGTGGTTTAAAGTAAAAAAACACATTATTTTCCACATACTGTACATTATTGTTTCTCCTCTTTCTGAAACGCTACAAACCTCATCGGTCTAAAAAGCGAGGTGCGCTGTGATTGGCCAGCTATCCGGTGCGCTGTGATTGGC